GGCAACACTAGCTACTCACCCAACATTTTTGGAAATAGGATTTTATAAGTTACTACCCCCGTCCCCAAGTTTTGGTTGCTTGCGACACCCCTGGTAATGGTATTGGCATAACAAGAAAAATAGACAGGCCTTTCCAGGCAGGCCAGGCAGGCAGGCTTGGAATTCAGAGGCCTGTCATAGGCCGGCCAGGCCTGCAAAAATGCGGCCTGGTTGGACCTCTGTGATCTATATATCAGAGTCCGGCGCGGGTCAATTTTTTTTGTGATCCGATCCGACCTGAGTTCAGCATAACTGGACCTAACCCGACCCGACCCAATCCAGCCCAACTCGAGTTCAAAGACAATTTTTGACTAATTAAAACAAGTTTTTTCGAAAATTAAGCATCTTTTCGGTAGATCTATACAAGTTTTCTCAATATTTAAAGTAAAATAATCATTATCACACCTAAATTTGCCGATTTCCTAATAAAAAGTTCGAGATCGGTCAATTTTTTGTGACTCGATCCGACCTGAGCTCGAGAAATTTTTCTGTCGGCCCGACCCGACCCGAATTCTGCTTCATATAGCAGAAATAAACATTATTATAGTTGAGATTATATCAATAGAATTCATATAATCTACGAAAATAATCTATCGATAGAATTATTTTCATATATAAAACTATATAGATAAACGAAGTCATTAGAATGAATGAATTCATCGTTTAGTTAATACATGGTGTTCATTATATTCAACAAACATCTCTATTTGTATACATTTACTGTAGAAAAGTCGTTTATTTGTGCTTAAATTGATTTTATCTCATTAATTATTTATTTTTGTAAAAGTAAAATTTGAATAAATAAAAATTCAGATAGATTCATGTTGAACAAAAGATACATAATTAAAAAGTTTTCAACTGGTCAGAGATGGCGATAAAAAATACATTTCAAATGATTAGAACTATAATACTTTGTTTCATTTAGCAAAACTATTTCTTTGTAAAGCTAATAGAAAATAATACTTCGATTCTATTATTTTCTTTTAGAACTAAATTGAGAATATATTGACAAAAGAATATCTAAATACATCTTTATTATTTTCATTCGTGTGTATAATAATTATGAAAATCATTAAAGAACAATGAGAATACAAATCTATACTATCAAACAAAGATATTAACAGAAACACTGAGAAAAGACTGTTAGTAGTGTAATGAATGGAATTTCCTTAAAATTAATACAAATAATGTTTAATAAGAAACATGTTGATGTATACTATCGTTTTTTGTCACAAGATCACATTTCAATAACTTCGACGCGACGAAATAGTCAAAAACAAACTAATGCATTTCATAGACATTGTTTCAACTGCTCCTAAGAACATCTAACTTCGTGTTTATATCTTCAAATATATGATAAAATATGTATTTTTTGTAAAAGATTTTTTTTTCATTTATTATCGCGTTTTATAGAAATTTTTCAAACACGACTAAATCAAAAATATTGTGAGTGTTCCTGGAAAACATATCTAAATAGGTCGTACCTAGGAATGGACTAGTCTCTACTTATACTGTCAGTATGATAAAGAAAAACTAATGATTATCATAATTTACACTATCCCAGATCGATTTTTTCAAAGACTATAATAAATCAACAGACGATCGTAATGCTCCGATCAGACTGACTTAATTCAAAGTGAATTAACTAGTATAATTGGCATTGCTATGTAAAAAGCCCAATCGTCTTTCCTAATTCACTTAGAATTAGTCGATCTGTTTGACCTCTAAGAAGCAATTCTATAGCATTATTCATTAATGAATAGTTTGCTTGTTATCGGTTGGAATTATTGATTGGCTCAATGTTTTCATACTCATTGTTTAACAATGCACCATTCTCTTCACGGACGACGATAAGACGACTATATCAATCGAATGATAAAGACGTCCATATATTAACTGCTTAGAATATTGTTACTTCGAATTAAGCATGACTGATTCAACCCTTCATCTTCTTGATTTACCCGACGAAATCTTATTAATTATTATGTCGAATATTTCTAATTTCGATGTTCTATATTCATTGATAGGTGTCAATAAGAAGCTCGATAGAGTTGCATGTGATATTGTTCATACTCGATCAATCGATTTCATCGGTACGAGATCAAATGATGAAATTCATTCATTATCAGATAAGATACTGGATCGATTCTGTCAAAATATTCTGCCTCGAGTTCATAACAATATTGAGTGTTTTACTCTCGAATCATCATCAATTAGTCGTATTTTTCACTCAATAGACTATCCGAAACTGTTCAAACTCATCTTACCTGAACTCGATCTCGAATTCGTATCACATTATTTCAATGGTAAATATTGTAATTTTGATGTAAAACCAAATAGTCAAATTGAATCGTTTTTTTTAGAACAAATGCCATTTATTCGCATTTTCAATGAGCAAATTTTGCATCTTGTTGTGACCGTGATGGACAAGAGTGAAAATGCATCATTAAGTGACGTGACCATCAATCTGTATATACGCATTTTTAATCTATTCACAAGTGTCACCCATTTGGATTTCGTCATCAAGAACGACTTTCGACATCCACCATTTTCACTTGATGATTTACCTTCTACTGCTTGTTTTTCATCGAATATTGTTCATTTATCCATTAGAGTATTGGGTCTTGAAGATTGTCTTTGTCTATTGGATGGTCGTCTAAGTCAATTACATACATTCATTGTCGAAATTTATTATATTACTCCTTTAATGGATGGTCGTCTTGATGATACGGTAAAGATAGCATGAACATTTAAAACTGGATTCTTTCTTGCATCAGTTGTTCGAACAACTAAATAATCAAATAGAAAGAAACTATTTCAACTAAGTAGAGAAAAGTAGAATTCAAGAAATTGCAAAGATACTCACAAGTGAAAGTCAATCAGCGATAAGATAAGAATTAGATTGGAATTAGTATATTGTGATCTAGAAAAAATATTCTGTGGTGTTCTTTTCTCTGTCTCTCTCTCTCATCCGAATGATGTTTTATTCTACATTAACCTCATAATTCGGTGAGAAAGAAAGCCCCAATGCTTGTATACTGCGTTTTGTTTGGTCGAAAGAATAAGATTTCAATTTTTCACTCGTCAATTTTGGTACTAGTCTCGTATACTTCGTTTCTACACGGCTAAAGTGGTTTCACCACTTACGAAAAATAGAAGACATTTGAAGAGAAAAATCAGTTGTATTTATTGACGAGTATATATTTCAAAGATTATCGCATGAATTATCATGAACAGCTTTCTCTCCAATTGTGAACAAACCGATATTTTGCTTCAGTTTCAAAGTTTGTTCTATTGGTTTTTAGATTTCTTTTGCATTGAAATTTGGTTCTCATTTCGATGTAAACTAGTATTTTTCTGTTTAGAAATCTCTTCCTAATCTCAAGTACTTCTCATTGATTTCGCACAAACGTACACATGCATATGATAATCGCGTCGTACCATTACTACATCGCATGTCTGCATTGGAAAAACTCACAATATCGTTGTCGATTGAAAATCGAACAACTTTCATCGATGGTATTCATCTGAACAACGAGATTCGAAGTAGAATGCCATATCTCGCTACATTTATCTTTAATATTTTCACGTACAATGTACACTTCTCTGAGGATTATCGACCGTCCGCTGATGATATTCGACGCACATTTATTCAAGGAACATCTTTTGATTGTTACGTCGATTACAATTCGAGGGGAAAAGGTCGATGTCATGCCTATTCGCTTCCATTGCCTATAACCGATCTTCATGGTATTACGAATAATTTTCCTCGTGGTCAATTCATACATGTTCGCATTTTGACTGTGATCGATACAATGTGTCCATTCGAACATGAATTCTTTGAACGGATCACTCGCTCATTTCCATTACTCAACAGTTTCACTGTGTTCAATCAACTAGAACAAAAACGATCGTGGCAGTGTTTGGATCATGAACAAGTATCTTCGGTCGTAGAATATTCTCATCTTACCGAACTTGATCTTCACTATGCTCACATTGACTGCGTCAAACAATTTCTAATTAATACAAAAATATATTTGCTTCATCGTGATGTCATTCGCGTCAAATATAAACACTTAACAATTGTGACGGAAAACTGTACCAATAATGCTACGCGACTCAATTGTGCCAAGGTGAAACGTGTTATTACCGAAGAAGTAATGGTACATTCGAAAAACTTATCTCTATTTTCCTTCCTTGGAAATAAAGATTTTCTTTCAAAATTGAATGATTATGTTCTATTAATATGTACCCATATCAGTGGAAAACGAATAATGTTTATTTATTTTGATGATGTTCTTTAGAAAAATGTTTGTTGACATGTGTTGTTATCTTCTCATTTATTCGAGTTTCTCTTTAGTTCATTGAAAAATTTATTTGTATACAGATTAGAGAATATTTTTATTTGAATGATTCAGTATATTACTCGAAGTATTATTTGAATTATTGAAGTTGAGTAATTGATAAATATATGAGCATACCAAACAATAAAAGATCGAGAGAAAAGAAAATTGGAAGAAAAAAATTGATGATAAATAAAAATACGATGATAAGCAGTTAAAAAAAATACGATGAAAATATGTTCGTGTAATAATATATATTCGACCGGTACTAAGACTTTTTTTTGTTCACTTGATTTTTGTTTTGATCTCTAAAAAAAAAGATTTCACATTAGAATATTACTTAACAAATCGGAGGAAAAAATTGACCGTTTCAATTGGCTTCTGTTCTGATTTCTAAAAAAAAGAAGATTTCAAATTAGAATATCACTTAACAAATTCGAGAGAAAAAAAACCTGACCGTTTCAATTTCACTACTTTTCTTTCCTTGGTGTTGTTGGACCGAGTCTATAATAGAATTGGAAAATATATTATATCTACGTTTGTATAGCAGGGATCGAAAGGAATAATAAAATCTTGATTCGATTCTTCAGAGTTTATATCCAATTCGATTGAATTCGATCCGCTTGAAAAAAAATCATCATCGGATTCGGATTTGATTCGGTCTAACTAAAAACACATTCTTCATTCGATTTGATCCACCTCAGATGAATTGAATCAAGCTCTTCGACAATTTGATCGGTTTCAATCGCTAATGTCGACTTACTTGTATATTTTTGGTTCAAACAATCCAAATAATCCGAGCGCATATCTCGAGTAAAATCATCTTTATTGGACAATTTTCCGTGGTAATGTTCCTTCTGATTAAAATAATTCACATCATTTTGTTGTTTTTGTATCTTTTGTAAACAAAAAATTGACAAGTGAACATCATAGAAAAAGTATATATCATACTTCACTTCTGATTTCTTCTGGTTGTTTTTTTTTTGTGCCAATTTTTTATTTACTTCGGCAGCTTCTTGATGAGCATCATTTGAGGTCATTTTTGTTTGATTTTAATGTTTAATTTTAATGTAACTGAACGATCTGAAATAATGAAAAATTCTTGCCAAATTCGACTGTATTTGAAAATTCCGCTCTCAACACAATCGAAGGATCGATTCGACAGAACCACTGATAACAAACAAATGTATGGGAGTATATCTGAGATAATATACTTTCTCTCTTTCTCTCTTTTAGAACAAATGAAATGCGTGAGAACGTCAAATGCAAGACTATCTTCCATTCACATAAACATAATCGCAGTCGAATATTATCAGAAAATATGCAATACGTATCACAAAATGCACAGATAAACATTATTTATTACAAGCTCGCACGTACGAGTTAAAGTATGCGAAGGAGAAATATGTTGGTAGATATACTTCTGCTTGCATGTATATTCTTCCAAATAAAACAGTCCGAAGAGATTTTTGTCAAAGTAACCATCTAATCCTCTTTTTTCTTGTACAGCTATTGAGATCAATTGAATATAATTGATTGATGTTTACTCAAGACAAAGTGGAGATTTTCATTCATGGATTTTGTTACAGTCATATGTTTATTCCTGACTCATCGGCATCTGTTTATTCATTCTTTGACGCTTCTCCCTTCTATATATGCTCTCTCTCTGG